TATTGAAAAGAATTTCTATGTCACCTGTCCGGTAGGAAACAAAAGAGGCGATGATGGTGAAGATATAGGGTTTGTCAGTGAAAACATGAAGAAGATGGCCCTGTTATCCTCCACTAAATTTTTTTTTCTCATGGCTGGGCTAGATGGTCAAAACTTTTTTCTTTTATGAAATAATTTTCTAAAATTATTAAATAAATGAAACTAACATCTTGAGACAACTGTTAAATTATTAGCACATGTACAACACTCATAATGTATGATGCTGATGTGTCGTAGTATATTTAGATGTGCAAAAAGTTGTATAAAACGCAATATGCAGGAGACCCGGACTCTTTGACTATATACCCTGACATTGCAATATTCTCAGTCTCATTCCCTTTGGTTATTTTGTTTCCATTCCTCCTCTTCCTCCACTTCTTCTCTCTCTCTCGTTTTTTCTCACACACTCTGTCTCTCTCTCTCGTTTTTATAGTTGACACGTTTGATTCTTATTGAATGTGTAGAGCCGAGTAATAAGGATGTAAATGTGCAGGAGATCCCAACTTCCTTACACAAGGGAAAGTGGAATAGGATAAGGTTGGATGGCACAACCCAAGAAAGAATATCATGTTGTCATAAAACATGATGAAATACAAAAAGAAATTAAGGAGCATCACATGCTTGACAAGCAGAACTTTCCAAGTGAAGTGATAGCAAAGATGCAGAGCAGGAACCAATAAACAAAAAACAAGGGTTTGTCAAAGATCAGCCGTCCGTGAGTCCTGGGTCTCCTACGCTTAAACAAATCACTGAAAATTCATCAAAATTCACCCTAGGGTTGATTGGTCAAACTCTCAAACGTGATTGGAGTGTCAATTCAACTAAAAGCCTGTGCCTATCAAAAAAAAAACAGAAAAAAAAGAAGAAAACTAAAGGGATCGAATCTTGTAACAATTTATGAAGGTGTTAACAGGTTCAGTTGGTAAGATTGTTTGTTCATTGTAATGGAGGCTTGGGGATCTAATTTTGCACTGTGTTCCTTTCTTTCTTTGGAACTACACAATGGATATAACCCATCTTCCATTCCCTAAACCCTCCCAACCCTGATGACAATGGATTTGGTCCTAGGTTTCTGCTACAACGAAGCTGAGATCCTAGCTACCAACTGGGCCAAATAACCAGCTGAGATCCCAACCCACCCGGCCGGTTGTTTAGAACCATGGAACCGGAAAAAAGAAACTGTAATAAGTTATTAATAGGTGCAAACTACATCGATCATATCATGTATCAATTTATGAAAATTTATAGAAAACCATATTTCATATCTATAATTCCATTGTAGGGAAAAATCATTCTAGGCCATTTCCATGCAAATTAATCAAGACAAAAACCCATATGTAAAGAATATACATTGAACATCAATATATTTGATATCACGAATATTTATTGGTTGTAATTTAAAAAAAAAATGTTAGTGATGAGAGGAGGATTTAATTTGGAAGAACAAACAAACAAGCACCGTTATGGTATATATCATATATAGAATTTGCAGAAAGTGCAGTAAAAGCTGAGAGGTTAATTGGATTAGACTTGGGTCGAGTGTTTTTTTGACCGGGAAGGTAGGACAAATGAAGACCTACTCGTTAGGCTTGGCTTGCGACATGCATGGGGACTTCCAAGTTCCAACAAAGGATTCTCAATGGATAACTCCACTCCTAAGCTATTGGGGTTTGCTGGTTAGGAGCTCACGAGGCCACAATACGTGAAAGGTGAGATCAGTCCACATTTATTTAGTTAAAAAGTGCCCAAAGAAAAAAAAAGTTTAAAAATGAGGGAGGGATTCATTAGAGATATATAAGATGACAACGTAGTATGCTTTCTCTGATTCTGTCATCTATCCTTGCAGTCAAGCAGTGTACAGACAGATGGGACTTGGCGATTTAGGTTTGGAGTAGTACTCTCCTCTCCAGACTCCCTCCCAAAGTTTGGCATTTGGACTTTGGACTTTGGAGGGTTATTGTCTGTTGTCCCGGTGTGGGTCAATGGACTTATAAGGACTGCCTTAGTTTGTAGGTGTAAGTGTGTAAACTTTGGGCAATCGCACATAGCAAATAGATATGCAAGGCGCGGGTTGGGTTGGGGTAGGGGTGGATTCGGGCTGAGCCGAGTCAAATGTTGGTACAAAAGCTCCTAAGTTTGAGTTCAGTTCAACTTGAGTTCGATTATAAGTCAAATTTTCAATAAAAAATAAAAGTTAAACATATAAAATTTATTTATTGTACATAAACAATATATATATGCATATAAAAATTGTTTTTACTTTACATACAAAAACTAATAATTATAAAATTATTTATTATATATATATATATATATATATATATATATGTATACATATAATAATAATTGTTTATTATATATATAAGGCCTGCGAGTTTTACAAGATGAGCTTCACTCGACTCAAAACTTGTTAAAAGCTCAATTCGTTTCCACCAACCAAGGCCCAACCTAAATATACAATTTTCGGGCCCCAATTTGGTTCAACCCATGGTCAAGCCTGAGTTTACCAACCCAACACAGTTCAGGTTGGGTTGGGCTGGGCTAAGCTTAAGTGGGTTGGTCACGTTTAAAGAGATTTTATTATTCAATTTTTATATAATTGTTTTTTATCGAGCTTTGAATCCCGACTTAGAAGTATTAATATTAACTCACTAAAAATATGCATGAATTTCATCAACAAATGCATATCTACATATTTTATATATATTAGGGGTGCAACTTGGCGGTTGGCCTGGGTTGAAGGTCAACCCAAGCCCAACCCTAAAGGTGAGAACCTTGGCTCAGGCTTGGCCCAATTTGAGGTTAAGCCAAGTTTATTAACCCAGGCCCAACCCAAGCTTAACCCAATACAACTTGGATACTACTGGGTCAGGTCCGGTTGATAAGTTTGGGCAGGCTGATTGATTTTGAAAGAATTTATGTATGTATTTTTATATATTAATTGTTTATTGGCTTTATGGCCCAGTTTAAGAGTATAATTAATTAAAAATATGTATAAATTTTATTTACAAATGTACATATATATACAATGTACACATGTATGCAAAATTAAAATATATATATATATATATTTTTATATAAATACAATAGGCATATGTATATATTTTTTAGACAGGCTTGGGTCGAACTTAGGCTCCTCCAGGCCTCAACCCAATCCCATCCCAAGTTTAGATCAGGACCTAGTTTTTTGGCCCAAACCCAACCTGCAGCTTGAAAATTCATGTCCAACCAGTGGAAACTTGGATTGGACCCATTCCATACACCTCTAATACATGTATATATATGTATATATAATGGAAATGATTTTTATGTATATATATATATATATATATATATATATATTTCTTCATGTGGGACATGGATTAGGTTGGGTGGTCCAGGTTTGGGTTACCCAAGGCTAATCTGAGAATCAAATCAGGCTCAAAATTCTGACCCAAACCCAGCGTTAAGGCAAAAAAAACTCGGGCCAAATCCATATAAATTTCAGGTTGAATTGGATTGGCATCGGGTTGGGGTCGCCCAATTTGCACCCCTAGGTTTCGGGTGGAATCAAGGGCTAACTGATTCTCGTCGTTTTCGGTAGAATTTAATATATTTCTTTCCCCCATCCTTTCTCTTCTGCAAAATGAAAACCTTTTTCCTCGCATTGATTGGTGGGGCAAACCTTTAATAACGTTATTAAAAACAAAAATAAGGATGGTGAAGGGAATCCCTACATTTCTGCCTATATCCCAAGGCTAGCGTGCGGGTGCGGCGTGCCCCTATAAAAAACATGGGGAGGGGAAACATCCATTCCAAGAAGAGGAGGATTGGAGGATCATTGGACGAGTGACGGAGTGAGTTTTCACTTTTCAGGCAGAGGGGGTGGAGGCATCGTTCTTTATTAATCTTTTTACTGGTGCCCGGCCCCCCCTTCATCTTCATCACCTCCAAGTCTCCAACAGTGTGTGGTGCGGTGTTTTAGCTTAAAACAGGATAGCTTCATCCTTCGTCTTGCAGCTAATAGCAACGATTCAGGATATTGGCAAATAAAAATATGAAATAGTGCAGCAGGTTTACTGCCTCCGACCTTTGTTTCGAACCCCATATTTTTTTTGACACGCCTGGATCTTTTATTCGATCCATGTAATCAGAATCTTACCCCAATGCACGAAGGAATCAAGTAACTCAGATCCTCTCAGATATTACGATTTGACAATAAACCGGACACCAGTTTGACAAAAACCCATTAATTGATCTTTGATCCCAAACACTTTGAACCGGGGACGGTCAATGAAACTGTTTCAGGCTTTCAGCTTCACCTTGGTTGTCCGAGTTCTGCAGGTGCTCGCACAAGTGCAAGGCAAGTCACGTGCCGAGGACAGGTGAAGGTGAGTGGTGACACATCAGTCATCACACAAGACCTTCTTTTGTATTAGAAACGTTTTTGTTATTTGCAGGTGAACGTTCTGTTTGGCTGTGACCAAAGAAAGCCCTAATGCCTGCCCCATGTTTGGTTGGTAACTTGGTCATTGGTGGGGAATGATTGTACGTGGACACTGCACTCCTGTGGAGTGGAGTGGCCCCTTGGATAATGCATCCTAGGGAGGTGAAGTGCCCAGCGGAACCATCAAACCCATTTGCATTTCCATCTGTCTATCACCAGATTAACTGGATTTTGTTTTTGTGATGCATGATGTTCTCTGGAGGAGAAATCAGAGAAATGGTTGCTGCAACGAGAACCGCTTATGCAGTCACCTTCAATGCCACTCGCCATTTGATATGTACACGTGGCGCTTTTAGATGTGGCTGCCAGACGTTGATTCTACATGGCGAGTGAAGACAGCAAAACCTAGATACGAAAGGGGAGTGGGGAGGAGGGAGAGCAAGAGAGAGAAGAGAAGTACGTGTCGGAGAGCACCCGAAAAGACCGCGGAAAATTGAAAAGACCGTCGGTATTTTAGACCCACGCCATGACGATTAACGAGCCCCGCCGTCGTTGCAGGGCGGGAAATCTGCAAAAATTTGTGAACCTTTTACATATAAAAACAACAAAGACCGCGCTTACTTAAGTGTAATCTCCTTCGCCCCTCTTTCTCCCTCTCCCCTCCCTCTATCTCACCCTCGGGTTCGGTTTATTCTTCTACTCACTTTTTTATTTTTAATGTCGTCGTCTTCTTCTTCTTCCTCTTCGGAAGGAAGCGCTGAAGGAGGAGGGGATGTCCATGTCCATGGAGGACAAGGAAGGGGAGGAGAGTTCGAAAGGCCTTCCTCATCTCGTCAAAGATCCGGTGATGGGGTTTGGCCGGAGCCTTTCGTCGAAGCTCTTGCGTATCAAGTGGCCATTGATGCTGCTCGAACCATTGGTCGCCTTGCTGCTGGTCCCGCCGTCGCCAATGTCTTTCAGGTCGGCCCCATCTCGATTGCCCCTCTTTACGTTATTCTTTTTACGCTTATCTTTTTTTACATGCGATTGTGTTCTTTTCCGTCCAATGCTTGGTTGTTATGTTCTTCACTGTGCAACTTTTATCATCACCTTCCTCATCGTGCATCGTCTCCCCATTATAGAGAAACCATCCTTATCAAAGCTGCATCTTTCCATCATTTTCGAGTGCTGTCGCTCGAGAGTTCAAAGACCATCAATAAAGTTGGTTTTTGTTGTTTTCTTTTTCATGACGATTCACGAACGATGTTTTCGCCTGGATATTCAACGCCTTTGGTTATTCTTCTTTCTTGAATTGAGTTGGTGAAAACACTGTATGGTGAATGTAGCATTTGTTATGGTAGTGCACTAACCTCCATGCACAGTCACCTCGTTCAGTCGGTATCCTATCCTGTTCAGAGTTTAACAATGCATATGGTGTAATTTCTGTGGTCAAAAGTCTACAAATTGAGTACAAAAATCAACCTCACCAGCACTGGATGCGTGTACATGGAATGTGGAAATTAATACTCTTGTCATTATTTGAGCGAGTTGGACATTGAGTCATACACTCGTTCCTTATTCCGTCTAAGCGATTCGGGCGGTTTGAAAATAGAGTCAAATGTTGGATGCCTATTGCTATTAGCTTTCCATACGTTTCTATTCCTTCTCGATCATCATCATCACCATCAATGGGTGAAATTTTGTCATTCAGCCCTTTATTTTTTTCAGTTGGGGTGTATTGGCTCTGGTGTTAACCCTCTTGGGCATGTTATGTTGTTACTTGTTTGTTAAGTCCTGCCACAAGCCTGTTCTCAGTAATTCATCTGCTCATAAAGCTTCGGCACCACCACCACATCAGGATCAATGATGCAATCCTGGACTTGATTACACGGAAAGATGGTCAAGGAAGAATACAATCTCTGGATTTTCTCCCACCTGATAACTGAGGAGGGGGTTCTCTCTTTTTAAGTCCAGGTTGGCTTTACAGGGTTCCTTTTGTTAGCTATACAAATCTTTCCTTTTTGACTGAGCTTTCTTGTCTCTGTCTACACTGGATACAGTCTTTACTGTGGGATACCTTTATTTATTACAAAAGAACAGCAAAACATAAAACTCTCTTTACTAGGTGAGAGAGACACAGAGGTAGCTTCCGACCCATATCTAGTTAAATAAATTATGATGAGTAGAACTATCCTTTCATTACTGACTATTGGGGCAGAACATTTTAGTACACTGTTCTAGGTTCCAGACCTTAGCATATGATGATGATGATGATCCTTGTCTGTGGGATGTCATTCGGTTTTTTCTTTTTTTTTTTTTCCTGAAAATCATTCTATTAAATAAGAAATACCTATATTTATCTTTAATGGAAACAAGTTATTTGTTGATTGTTTTCCATCCCAAACAACTGAACTTTTCTGATGCTCTCTACCAAATATGCGCCTATATACGCTTTGAGCTGAGATCACACCAGTCCCATTCGGTTGTCTTGTGATAAGATTCGACGAAAAATAGAGGCGTTTGGTTTGAGTCCAGAGCTAGTTTGTTAGATACACAATGGGTCTAAACGTTGGGAACATGTTTTTAACTGATAGTTATGTGGAAAAGTTTAAATCCAAGTCGGGAAGACAAGGAACCACAGACAGACAGAAAGAGCAAGTTGGGTTTCTATCTGAAAACTGTAAAATTGCAGCGACGCTGCTTTTCACGAGACTGCCGCTATCTCGGAAATGAAAGAAGGTGGGGCTTTGTGGACTCGAGTCGCTCACCCTTCCAATCCCAACCTCATATGGTCATACCAATGTCTTGTCTTATTCCATCTCATTTCTTCTCGATTTTTTATGTTGTCTTATTCTAACATTTCTCGTCCAAAATCCAAATGGGTTCTCTCTCTCTCTCTCTCTCTCTCCCTTTTTTTTTTAATTTTCTCCTTTTCTTTTTCCTGCCACGTCGACTGCTGACATGAAGGCCATTTCTTAAATGACCTACTCTTTTTTAGCCATGTAGAACAATGTTGTGGTTGGTTAGTGTGGACCTTTCATGGGAAAGGATACACTCTGAAATGTTTTGTCTGGAATCCAAGCTACAGTCTATCAAACCTATTCTAGCCTGGGATCGCAGTAATAACAGTAACTCATTAAATATTTCAGTTATCTATTTTGTTATACATTTTTTAATTTAAATTTAAATAAAGTCACCATATATGATATACCAATGAGGAACAGACTCTACAGAACACGTGGACGTGGTAATTCTCACTTGGCCCAAAATTCTAATATTATTTTTCACAAAAAGGAATTCGACGAACGCTTTTCTTTTGTAAGCAGCGCGTCGTCCTTGGCTGTATCTGGGTCTACTAGTAGCTGGGGGTGGGGTTGGGGGTGGTGGTCCGGTCCTTGAATCAGAGTCTTGCCCTGTAAAAGGTTCCAAACCTCCCAAAAATGAAAACTGAATACCTCCAGAAAATATTCTTAGGAGTTGGGTTGTTGACGCTTGACTACAAAATGGACATGGTTTTGTAATGTGCGCAACTAATGTGTCACGTGGCAAATTGTAATTTATATGCCGTTTACTAAGTTGGCTGAGCTCGGAATTTGTGCCTACGTGGTGCATCGATCCTTGGCCATGCATAAGTGTATATATATATATCCTTGGCCATAGCACTTGCCAAGTGGCTAAATAACCCCACTGATCACCATTCTTCTTGAACAATCTTTGATGCCCTCTTGTTTACAGGTTTTGCCACGTTGCAGTCGATTAATGATTAAACTACGCAAGTAGTGGGAAACTGGGAATGGTATTTTGATACATGTGATCACGTAGATAGCCAAGCTGGTTTTGAGTTTTGACATTGTCCTACTGTTGCTGTATCCCGCTGGCCGCAGAGATTTTAAATTTTTAATCCAACAGTGGGGAGATGATAAAAAAAAAATCTATAATAATAGGTTAAAGAGAAAAGCTACCTTGTGCCTGGAGGCTGAGAGTCTCCCTGGCGATGTGACATGATATGTTATATTGTACTAAGGACAAATCGATTCACATATATACATCTCTACACCCCCTAGAGAGCAGCAGCGTCACAGCCTATATCGTAGACACCAGGCTTATCTCTCTGGTCTCAGATGTCTCTGTCACGGCTCCTCCCCATTACTCTCAGATATATCTCTCCAGTCGGTGGTTTATATATCCTTTCTGCCCTTATTAATTGCTTCGGGTTACGGGGAATAGGTAATAGACCCCAGGGTTGATAGCCGTCCCCGTGCAGAAGGAAATATTTTAGGAATCTTTCTTGTGTGTTGGGTGTTGGTATTGTGGATACAGTATTCGAGGACCTATAAATAGCCTGGCCTGCCTGTAAGCGTATATAGAATACGGACGGCTAAGTACGCGGCAGATACAGATTAAGCCTTTGCCAATCCATCTCGACTGAGGAGTGAGGTGATGACTCTCCCCTTTGGTCATATTCCCCCATTCAATATTTTGACTCCCATGTGACGGATGATGATTCATGAATATTTAGTAATTACTAATATCATACCGATACCGTCCTCGGCTTTAACCAGTAACCAGGGTTGCAGGCCATTGTTTTCAGTCCAAACTAGTCCCATTTATGAAAATCAACCCGACGGACCATCCTTTTAATTTTTTAATATATCCATCTCCGCCCGTGATCCCTATTTTTTTTTTAGCTTTCAAATTTCAAGTCTTAAATAAAGTATTCTACGTACGAATCTCGTGCTTTGCCCTGTTTGTTCTATTGACTCGATCTCAAACAGTCAAACCTTCCTTGTATCGTATAATATTCTTTCTCAGCTCTCTTCATACTTTTCATTAGAGGAAAGAGGAGGAAACCATTTCCAGAACAACAGTCGCTCCTTTTTTCCGTGTTTTTATTATATATTTCATGACAACGTTGCCTTTGATTATGATCATTACATCATCTTACTGTCGATATTTTGGATTTTTATGAAGGTGTGCTCTACGTGGCGAGCTGTGTCACGCTCCGACCTTTTATGGCACAACCTCACTCGTCAGATCTGGGGAGCTGACCGTCTACAGCATGACACATGGCGTGACGAATTTATAAGTCGTCATCGTACGGCCTTTAACTTCCGCTATCGAAGAGCTGTGTATACAACATTGGAGTTCGACGCCTCCGGTAACGACAACGACGGCCTTATTTGTAGGTGCCTCGCTCTCTCCGACGTGCATCTCGCCTGCGGCTTCCTTGATGGAACCGTCCGCCTCTTCGATCTCTCGTCCAGGCTTCACGTTGGTACGTTTCGACCGCACCACCGTGACGACCTCCTGGGTGCCTTTTCGCGTGCTGTCTCGGGTATCATTCTCACGGATACGAAACTCGTTTTTGCATCCTTGGACGGGGATATCCACGTAGCCAACATCCATGGCGTTGGCACGCGTAGGGCCCAGTTGGGGAGCGTGTTGAACGACGGCACGTTGGTGGACTTCAGCGGTTGTGCGCGGTGGTGGGTGGGCCTGTTCGCCGGTGTTCCGGGGCGTGCTTTCCACGTGTGGGATGGTGACACGGAGGAGCTGATGTTTGTTGGTGGGTCCTTGACTGACCCGGAAGCTGTGATTGGATGGCGCCTGCTGACGCGACTGGGGGAGACGGTAGGACGAATCAGAGTGTCGGGCTTGGAAACGGCGGTTGCATGCACTGGATCGAGGGTGATGGTGTTTGATCTGCAGAACCAAGGGTTGATATTGGGGGAGGAGGAATTCGAACGGGGCATCAATGTGAACTCGGTTGATGTGTGTAACGATGTGTTCTTGGTAGTTGACAACCGTGGTCTAGCCAGTGTGCGTCGTGTAGGTAGCTTTGAGGAGGTGTGTAGGTTTACGATGAGGGGAGGAGCGCATCGAGGCGGAGGAATGGTATTGGGGTGCGTCAACAGTGACTACGCGTTTTTGTGTAGTGGAGGGGTGATTAGGGTGTGGGACGTGCATCATGGTGGCTATCTGTACCGTCTCAGGGAGAGGATGGGGGAGGCCACTGCGTTGATCTCCGACGAAAGTTACGTGGTTGCTTCTTCCTCTGACGCCACCATACATCTGTGGGATTTTGGAGCTCTTTAGCGGGTGTGGATGTGGTTATGGGTATGCGGTGATGGGTTGTTAATGGATTTATCTAACGACTTATATAACAAAACAAAAGTCCATTGCTGTTTGCTGACTGACGTTAAAAGAGAAACTGAGAAAAAGGAGAAAAAAAAAAAGAAACAGAGAGACGTAGACAGATTAGGCTTGACCAAAGAATGAGAAAGGGGAGTTGTTTTAGTGGCGGAAGTGGTACTGAGTGGACGAGGGAGAAAACCTAAGTTGGGTTTGTACAGAGAGAAAGAGAGATTTGATACACACACCGGGATTTGGCATTGCCTGGGGGTTGAGTTGTAGCTTTCCCGAGAGAGGAGGATGTACTTTCTGCTATTTAATTTTAATTGGCAAACTGTTGGAGACATGTGACATAAGCGTATTTCCTTTTTTGTTGTTTTCTCGCCTGCCCTCTCTTTTTACTTAATTGATTTTCGACTTTTCATTTTATCATTATCATTGATTGAATAATTGTTGGGTGCCATGAGAAGCGAACTCGAGCTACTACGTAGCTAGTGGCTAGAGAGCTGATGTATGAGGAGGTATAAACCATTAATGGGTTGGGACTTGGGGGGGGGGCGAGATCGGATATGCTCGTCACACAAGGCGCATCACACCGACGTCACACTCGCATCCTATCATACATCGGGAACATCTCTCCCGTACTTGTAAGTGATTATGCACGGGAGATGTTACCGTGCTCGGTGGATGTGCCTGTGAGGAGCAGATCCCGTTCCGGGGGGTGGTATGGGCATGGGCCCGTCCGTGGTTCTGGATGTACGTACGGGTGGTGTTTTGGTGAATCAGGTCTTTGACTCTTCGGTGACGAGAGAACAGTTATCTTGTCTGACAGGAACGATCCGTCTGGCGTCTGGTACATCTGAAACTCTCTCGTTTTTATAATTAATTTATATACCTTTCTTTAAACAAAAGGTTGCTGCATTCAATGTAAGGCTGCCACCGAAGAAGCTACGCAGAGTCAACAGATTCAGACTTGACTTCCTTGATTCGGTAGGACCTCTTGATGCAACAAGCCAATAACAATATGAGAGGGGCTGGGGCGTCGTCCAGACCTTCGGATTCGGTATTTTGACTATAGAACATGATACCGGGGAGGGGAGGGTATTGTGATTGTCTTTTCACCGGTCATCCCCCCATTCTGGCCACCGAAATACAGAAATCTGTAATTCTGTATCCGATGTCTGCAACCAATAGAGGCAAAAGGTGACGACAAAGCGCATTTTCTTCGCCATAACCCGGCAAAATGTTGGGCTGCTCATCAGCAGGTTTGTTTATTTCAGGCATATCTGTTCATAACGGGGATCTTAATCAATAATAGCTTTGTCGACGGCATCTGTTCACGAATACTAGTTTATTTCAGGCATCCGTTCCATTCATAATTAAGTCTGCCCCCACTCCCAGTCCTGCAGTCCACTAGTCCAGTCCGACCGGTTAACCTACTCTCCCAGTGTGGTCCCGCTGCCATGTTCATAAGATTGCTACTCAGTGCCATCCCTTACCCTTATTAGCAAAGGTAACTATGAAGTTCGGTACTCGTCCATGCACATTCACCTCCGCTGCACTGAAAAGCCCAAGGCTCCAGCATGGTTGGGAGTGTGATAATAGCTTAGCAGCTCCTTAAAATCTATACTGCCGGACCGGAATGACAGAATACCCAAGGTCTTTGACCAATCGAAACCCCCCATAAATAAATTTGATGAATAGCTAGCTGATCGATCATCAGTCATCACTTTTATAAAAATAATTATTTTTGTTCTTATTTTTTGTCACATGTGAACATGTGAGAATTTTAAGCAAGGCCTATGTGTAATTATTTATTTTTTTACTTGAGTGGTGTTATTGTAAGATCGTGGATACAAGGCAGTCTGTACTACGATGGTTGAGGAATTGGCTGAACGAAAAAGGGAAACAAAGGAGATAAGGAAGTGGCTAGACATCAAAGAAAGGGTTGCCTACATACCCTTCGTCCTTCGACGAGGGATCAGGCTACTGTAGTTTGCCTGCATTGGAATTCCGACGAGAAAAGAGAAAAAAGTGGTGGATGTCTGATATAGAGAAAATGCTGAATGAGAGAAAGGGAATGAACTGGCATCAAAGTGATATGTTAAAAATGGTTTCAAGGCCCCTATTTATAGTTTTTGGGTGTATAATCCAGAAGTTTTTTAAGTTTGTGTTTTTCATATTTTCACTTCATATTTTAAATTGTTTTGTACACATATTTAAGACATGTGGTTATATATCTTTGTAAAATTATTTTATTAATTATTATTTTCAGTTTTACCGTTTTGTCACATGTTTAGTTCATTGATTTATTTTTAGAATGTTTCCATGTTTGTTTCTTATTCAATAATAAGAATGCTTTCTTGATTTCTAGAATATTTATTAATTGTATTGAAATATTCACACTTATTAATGAACCAAATTGACTCAGGTTTGATTGGTCTTGTCACGGTCGTTAATCATATGTTTTTTTTTGTCTTAAAAACGACTTTTAAATTGAAGGTGAATATGGACTTTTTGAAACTTTAGGGTTAAGAAGTGGATCTAAAAATCCCTAACTTTTTATTAATATAAATCTTAAAGCAGTCATGATCCCATATGGTAAAAAAAAAAAACAAAAATGTAGGAACGCAAAACCCTTTGAAAATTTCATCTTCTCCACCCGCTTTTTAAGAGACTCCATAAACACTATCCGCTCTTTTATGTATCACCCCCTAAACTGCCATGTTTGTGGTGGTTTTGCAATTTCTTACAAGTGTCTGTTTAGAGACAGAGATCAAGCTTTCGTGTAAACATTCAGTTTCTTTTCCCCTAGAGTCTCTATTGGTAGGTTCTCTAGATGAGACGTAGGATCAAACTCTGCTGCCATTAGGGTTGGTGTGGGTAGTGGATATGGTGACGGGGATATAAATTTGATCGGTTAATGCAATAGTAAATTCTTGGGATGGCCATGATTGAAAATTCAAAATGGTGTTCAAGAATGAGAGAAGCCCAATGTTCTAAATATCGATATGTCCAATACGTACGTCGGTAGGGCGTATTGGGCAGTATCAGTACTGTTTTTTTAATTTTTATTTTTTTCAAATCTGGTTCAGGGGGGGCGATTTAAGGTTCCTCCACCCCTGAACCGATCAAAACCCTGATACACCCTTTATAGGGACATATCAGGGTGCTCCCGATACAATATGTATCGCTAGCATGGGCAGATAGGTAACGATTTTTTGAACTTTGGAGAAGCCATCCGAACTTGTGAAAAAAAAAATAATAAAAAAAAAAGATTTTCTGATTAATACCCTGTACTTTGCGCTTCATGATGACATTTTAGCTCCCAAACTTTAAAATGCGATGATTTAATACCTAATTTAAAACGTAACATTTTAGAGGCATTTTAAAGTTTCGTAGAGCAAAGTATCAGAAATTTTCCCTTAAAAAAAGGCCAGAATCACTAGCCTCTTTCTAGACCCCACTTTTGGTCCGGCATTGGGAAACGCCTCTATAGAGGAGAGTGTGTCTGTATGATCCAATCATTTTGCCTTATGAATCATTTAGTCTCCAGACAAGAAGAATAACATGGAATGATGGTTCGATAACACACCTCGAAGATAATATTGTAAACATAAACAAGTCAAATTAGGAATGCGCTCGAAAGGAAAAATTTTTAGAAGAAAGAGTAGGAAGAACACAAAATAAAATACGGTTCATTCTGGTTCTTCCCAGATCAGACTGTGGGTTTGTAATTGAATAAAAAATAAGATTGTTTCTTTCTTGATGTTGATCAGCATCGTCAGAGAATTCAGAATTAATGCAGAAACAATTCAATTCTCTGCAACTGCAAGCATGCTGCTAGATGCAGACTGATTCCAATGTCCGGAAGCTATCATCGTCTTGTCCGATCCATTTGGGTCGCATATTTGCGTGTTCTAGTCAACAACGTAAATGCTCCTCCACCTGTGGACTGTAGTTGAATGAGAAAAATAAAAAGAAAAAGACAGAAATTAGAGGGGGGCTGGACAGAAATAGACATATTAGAAAGGATTATCCTAGTCTATAAAAACAGGTAGCTTTGTACATTTATGTTTACGGAGACGTGGGCATGAAAATTTTCGAGCCCTGAGCCATTTGAGCGTGGTTTCCAGGATCGGCCGATGAAGTAGCTAGAGCGGCTATGAAAGCTTTTACACTCAGAGTCGCACTGTTTTGTTTACGTTTATTAGTTTGAATAATGGCCGATTGTGAAACCACGCTGTGTCGTTTGCAGAGAATCATTGATAGCTACATCTGAAGTACAAATAGCCTACCCTCGTCCCATTGCCTAATCTTCTCTCTCGAGCTGTGCCATTCTTTTCCTTTCATGAGGTTGCCGGTTGGTGAATCTCTCTCTTCTTTCCGAAGACCGGAGACAGAGTTATAAAGGTTGCCTGAGCCTGACCCCAAAAATCTTCTTGCAGAATTCTATGGGGTGGTAGCTGACGCCTGACGGGAGCTCACTGTAAAAGTAAATCCAATCTCTTGGTTGACTGCGGCCTAGGCTGTGTAGGCTGCTGCCTAGATAGCCATAGGCCATAGCCTGCCGCCTCGATGCTTCCCCAGTGCAAATTTAACGGCTACGAGACATCTTGCAAATTAAATTGCAATGCTGCAGGGGTCTGAGACCCTGCTTCCAGGTTCCAATATATTATCTTCAGCGATACACACAACCGACTGAAGCTTGTTCGGTCATCGGTGACGGTGAGGCTCCGATCGGATCCAAGACTGGAAGTTGAGCCTGGTAAAGGGCGGAATCACCTTGAACTTGGAGGGGACCAATGCACCAGCTTCATTCATCTTGTGGTTGTCATGAGCCATCCGTTGAGTAATGATCTCAGCGAATTCATCTAAAGAGTCGTATTATATTACTAGTCAGGATTCAGGAACCGTTCAATTTGTTCAATTTGTTCAATTTGTTCAATTTGTTCAAATTCAATGTTCTGATCGTTCAATTTGTTCAAGTTCATTTTAATTTAGATTGGTTTCAACGCAAACCAGTCCTGAGACCTGTATTCTTATCTTATGTCAATGGACCGGATATTGAATTAATTCAACCAAATCCAATATAAATTTATTACGGA